TCCCTGGAGCACTTTGGAGATTAGCAGAACTATTGGTACAAAGATTGGAACCACAGCTGACTCAGTCTCAAAGCCTGGGGTCACTGCCTCTGGGGTTTCCAAGAGTGGGGCCACTTTCTTCAGGATCACAATCCTAGGTTTCAAATAGTCAGGTCTTCTCCAACTTGCTTCCAAAGGGGGAGAATGAGAAGGGGGGGACATGGAACAAAATCCAAAATGTGGAACAAAAGAGACTAGGTTTACTGGCAGATGGAGACTGGTGGGACACACCATGACCCTTTGTCACTCCTCAGGTCTGGAACGGAGTCACTCCTGTAATTCAGTTTTCAGTCAAACTATGGACAGGTCTATAAGGGGAACAATAACAAGAGTGAGGTACAGGCACCTTTAATAATTGACTATTTGTGATGAACAGGGCAGCGTTGGCCAAAGGACAGGGTTCAGAAGTTTGGGAAATAAGCAGGCCTGGACACATGAAGCACAGGGGTGGGGTGGGGTTGGGGAATGGTACAATGATGTTACATTGAGGGAATTGCAAGGAATGGGTTGAAACAAAATGTTCTTGTTTCTCCGAATTGTTGAAAGTAAAATTGATGCTCTCCGTAAACCTTGGCCCAATTCACAATAAAAAGTTATAAATAAAATGTGCCAGGCTACGGGGCTGCTGCCCAAAGCTGGGGATAGGGGTTGGGGGTGTAATGGGGATGCCATGCCCAAGGAGCAGAAGAACAGAATCATCCGTGGCGGCAGGGTGGGGGAATCACACAGACTGACTAGGAAAATGGAGCCCCTCAGAGCTCAGGGGAGCAGAGTTGCCATCCACAACAGCGTGCCAGGGCCCTTCAACAAGACTCCAGAGAGCATGGTCAACACCCAGAATCTGAAGGGCGGGACACTGCCTTGATGGTCTCAGAGAACAGGGGTGCTTTGAGAGCTGATGTACATTTTTCTGCTGGGTTTCAGACTTTCTTAGTATCTGGTATCATATATATATTTGAAAGCTTACTCGTTTTTATTATTTAAATCATTTTATTGGGGGCTCGTACAGTTTTTATCACAATCCATATATCCATCCATTGTGTCAAGCACATTTGTACATTTGTTGCCATCATCATTTTCAAAACATTTGCTTTCTACTTGACCCCTTAATATCAGCTCCTCATTTCCCTCCTCCCTCCTCACTCCCCCCTCCCTCATGAACCCTTCATAATTCATAAATTATTATTTTGTCATATATTACACTGTCCGACGTCTCCCTTCACCCACTTTTCTGTTGTTCATCCCCCAGGAAGGAAGTTATATGTAGATCCTTGCAATCAGTTCCCCCTTTCTACCCCACCTTCCCTCTACCCTCCAAGTATCGCCACTCTCACCACTGGTCCTGAGGGAGTCATCTGTCCTGGATTCCCTGTGTTTCCAGTTGCTATCTGTACCAATGTATATCCTCTGGTCTGGCTAGATTTGTAAGAGAATTGGGATCATGATAGTGGGGGGAGGAAGCATATAAGAACTAGAGGAAACATAACTGTTTCATCATTGCTACACTGCACCCTAACTGGCTCATCTCCTCCCCGCAACCCTTCATTAAGGGG